GGGGGGGGGGGGGGGGGGGGGGGGGGGGGGGGGGGGGGGGGGGGGGGGGGGGGGGGGGGGGGGGGGGGGGGGGGGGGGGGGGGGGGGGGGGGGGGGGGGGGGGGGGGGGGGGGGGGGGGGGGGGGGGGGGGGGGGGGGGGGGGGGGGGGGGGGGGGGGGGGGGGGGGGGGGGGGGGGGGGGGGGGGGGGGGGGGGGGGGGGGGGGGGGGGGGGGGGGGGGGGGGGGGGGGGGGGGGGGGGGGGGGGGGGGGGGGGGGGGGGGGGGGGGGGGGGGGGGGGGGGGGGGGGGGGGGGGGGGGGGGGGGGGGGGGGGGGGGGGGGGGGGGGGGGGGGGGGGGGGGGGGGGGGGGGGGGGGGGGGGGGGGGGGGGGGGGGGGGGGGGGGGGGGGGGGGGGGGGGGGGGGGGGGGGGGGGGGGGGGGGGGGGGGGGGGGGGGGGGGGGGGGGGGGGGGGGGGGGGGGGGGGGGGGGGGGGGGGGGGGGGGGGGGGGGGGGGGGGGGGGGGGGGGGGGGGGGGGGGGGGGGGGGGGGGGGGGGGGGGGGGGGGGGGGGGGGGGGGGGGGGGGGGGGGGGGGGGGGGGGGTGGGGGGGGGGGGGGGGGGGGGGGGGGGGGGGGGGGGGGGGGGGGGGGGGGGGGGGGGGGGGGGGGGGGGGGGGGGGGGGGGGGGGGGGGGGGGGGGGGGGGGGGGGGGGGGGGGGGGGGGGGGGGGGGGGGGGGGGGGGGGGGGGGGGGGGGGGGGGGGGGGGGGGGGGGGGGGGGGGGGGGGGGGGGGGGGGGGGGGGGGGGGGGGGGGGGGGGGGGGGGGGGGGGGGGGGGGGGGGGGGGGGGGGGGGGGGGGGGGGGGGGGGGGGGGGGGGGGGGGGGGGGGGGGGGGGGGGGGGGGGGGGGGGGGGGGGGGGGGGGGGGGGGGGGGGGGGGGGGGGGGGGGGGGGGGGGGGGGGGGGGGGGGGGGGGGGGGGGGGGGGGGGGGGGGGGGGGGGGGGGGGGGGGGGGGGGGGGGGGGGGGGGGGGGGGGGGGGGGGGGGGGGGGGGGGGGGGGGGGGGGGGGGGGGGGGGGGGGGGGGGGGGGGGGGGGGGGGGGGGGGGGGGGGGGGGGGGGGGGGGGGGGGGGGGGGGGGGGGGGGGGGGGGGGGGGGGGGGGGGGGGGGGGGGGGGGGGGGGGGGGGGGGGGGGGGGGGGGGGGGGGGGGGGGGGGGGGGGGGGGGGGGGGGGGGGGGGGGGGGGGGGGGGGGGGGGGGGGGGGGGGGGGGGGGGGGGGGGGGGGGGGGGGGGGGGGGGGGGGGGGGGGGGGGGGGGGGGGGGGGGGGGGGGGGGGGGGGGGGGGGGGGGGGGGGGGGGGGGGGGGGGGGGGGGGGGGGGGGGGGGGGGGGGGGGGGGGGGGGGGGGGGGTGGGGGGAGGGGGGGGGGGGGGGGGGGGGGGGGGGGGGGGGGGGGGGGGGGGGGGGGGGGGGGGGGGGGGGGGGGGGGGGGGGGGGGGGGGGGGGGGGGGGGGGGGGGGGGGGGGGGGGGGGGGGGGGGGGGGGGGGGGGGGGGGGGGGGGGGGGGGGGGGGGGGGGGGGGGGGGGGGGGGGGGGGGGGGGGGGGGGGGGGGGGGGGGGGGGGGGGGGGGGGGGGGGGGGGGGGGGGGGGGGGGGGGGGGGGGGGGGGGGGGGGGGGGGGGGGGGGGGGGGGGGGGGGGGGGGGGGGGGGGGGGGGGGGAGGGTGGGGGGGGGGGGGGGGGGGGGGGGGGGGGGGGGGGGGGGGGGGGGGGGGGGGGGGGGGGGGGGGGGGGGGGGGGGGGGGGGGGGGGGGGGGGGGGGGGGGGGGGGGGGGTGGGGGGGGGGGGGGGGGGGGGGGGGGGGGGGGGGGGGGGGGGGGGGGGGGGGGGGGGGGGGGGGGTGTGGGGGGGGGGGGGGGGGGGGGGGGGGGGGGGGGGGGGGGGGGGGGGGGGGGGGGGGGGGGGGGGGGGGGGGGGGGGGGGGGGGGGGGGGGGGGGGGGGGGGGGGGGGGGGGGGGGGGGGGGGGGGGGGGGGGGGGGGGGGGGGGGGGGGGGGGGGGGGGGGGGGGGGGGGGGGGGGGGGGGGGGGGGGGGGGGGGGGGGGGGGGGGGGGGGGGGGGGGGGGGGGGGGGGGGGGGGGGGGGGGGGGGGGGGGGGGGGGGGGGGGGGGGGGGGGGGGGGGGGGGGGGGGGGGGGGGGGGGGGGGGGGGGGGGGGGGGGGGGGGGGGGGGGGGGGGGGGGGGGGGGGGGGGGGGGGGGGGGGGGGGGGGGGGGGGGGGGGGGGGGGGGGGGGGGGGGGGGGGGGGGGGGGGGGGGGGGGGGGGGGGGGGGGGGGGGGGGGGGGGGGGGGGGGGGGGGGGGGGGGGGGGGGGGGGGGGGGGGGGGGGGGGGGGGGGGGGGGGGGGGGGGGGGGGGGGGGGGGGGGGGGGGGGTGGGGGGGGGGGGGGGGGGGGGGGGGGGGGGGGGGGGGGGGGGGGGGGGGGGGGGGGGGGGGGGGGGGGGGGGGGGGGGGGGGGGGGGGGG